GCTGATAAGAGCTGTGGGAATTGTAAGGAGGCAGGGTGACTTCTGGCAGGGCTAGTGGAGAAGGACCCCACGGAATACGTGGCACTTCAGCTGGACTCTAAGATTCGGACAAGCAGACACCTCTCCTGTCAAGGACAAAGCTCACAGGGGTGGGGGTGGGGAGCCAACACTGGGCAGAGCGAGAGGGGCATTGGGAAGGGCAGGCTGGAGCTGCTGATGGCCATGAATGCTCAATTGTAGAGATTTAGCTTTCTTAAGAAAGGGAGTAGAATGGCCATGATTATACTTTAGGAAGTGCAGTCTGGCAGGAACCTCGGAATGAATTTGCAGAGGAGATGCCGGAAGCAGAGAGAGCAGTTATTTTATGTTTATTTGATAATACTGGGTCTCTACTGATCACACAGCTGTGTAGGTGGATTGAAAACTTTGGTCAGAGAACCGTTTTTGAAACTCAGACACAGTCTAAGTGACTCATCAGTAAGCCAAGAAGAATTTCTAAGGAGTCATCACAGACAGGTTCAAAAAATGCACAGTGTGAATGAGGAAATCTGCTAACAGCTCTTAAAGCAGACAGCGCAAGTCCAGGGGAGGGAGGTTAATGTGGGAAACTGAAACTGAGCAGTGTCTGTGAAAGCCACTCTGCCTGGCTGCTCAGCGCAGGCGAAACGCCAGCAGGGCGGGCCTGAGGCAGAACGGGGCAAAGCCTGCCCGGCCAGATAGAAAGCCCCAGAGAGAGGAAGGCAGGAGAGATTAAACCGCTGAAGGTAAAATCAAAACAACTTCTGAGATGCAAAAGGCGGATTTCTCAATTGCAAACTGAATTTGCCAAACCGGATTTAAATTAGTAGAAGCCAAACAAGGGAACGATTTGAGAAAGGTAAAGCTGTTGCTAAATGAACCGCTACCTAGAGGTCCCGACGTTGCCCAGCAGCCTGCACTGCCGCCTGCTCCACCCCTCCTGGACGGCTCTGTTCGTGGCGTGAGAACCCTGGAGGGATGCAGTCAAGTGCAGCTTCAAACAGTGGGCTTCGACGTGAAGCTGCAGCAGCAGGCACACCCGCTTGGGCTGTGGCAGTGGAGTAAAGGCTGTATGTCTGAAGCAGCCCCAGAAACAGCCGCTGCGAAACAGTCACTGCAGGCGTGAATTTTATGAGTTCCCCGTATGCGAACTACCATTAGTCACGCATTGATTGATCCATTCCTCCAGGAGCTTCATTTCCAAATGCAAAGGCAGCCTTTCAGTACAACCTCACTATAACACTGCCTTTGTCATCCACTCCTTATTTTTAAAGCTACATCATAATGAGATCTTTTTTAGATTTAAATGCTTAGACCCTTTATAACTCTGCTGCGTCATGAATAGGGACCCTGTGAGGTTCCTGTATTTTTATGTGCACGTATAAGCACGCAGAATTTCTCCATCTTTCTCAAAGACATTTTCATTGGAAAGTAGACGTAGTGAATTTATAAATAAGAGGGTGGAAAAACAATACTCCCTTCACATTAGCCAAGCCCTGGGATTAAAGCAAACACAGAGCTTGGCCCAGAAATACAACTAGAATTCAACATTACTATGGAATACCTAAGAATAGGCAGAGATTCTTTTTTCCCATTTCTTTAAAACTTGACATTCCTATCTTAAGTATCTTCCTCTGAGAATTGTGTGCAATATTCATAGTTAGATTTAGTATCAGAACTCAGTTATTGACAATTTTCTTAGGATATGTTCAGAGCTAGAATATATAAAATGACAAGGATAGATGTTTTCTGTATCTGACCGTGGTTTTATTTTTTTTTCCTTTTAAAGAGGAATAGGCAAGTGTTGTATAAACGTCTAAAAAGAAACTGTCCCTATATGCTGTGGTTTATACATTATGTTTTACTTTAATATAGTAAAATATGTTTTGCAGAGGAGAGACTGGAAGCAGGGAGAACAGTTATTTTATGTTTGTTCCATAATTCTGGGTGTTTACTGATCACACAACTTGTGCAGGTGGATCGAAAACTTTGGTCTACATGGGGGGAAAAAATTACAGAGAAGGAGGGAGGCAAACCATAAGAGACTCCTAAGGACTGAGAACAAACTACATGGAGGGTGGGGAAGAGAGGAAAGTGGGTGAAGGGCAAGGAGGAGGACACTTGCTGGGATGAGCACAGGGCATTGTATGGAAACCAATTTGACAATAAACTATATTTTTAAAAAAGAAATCTTTGGGGGCGCCTGGGTGGCGCAGTCGGTTGAGCGCCCGACTTCAGCCAGGTCACGATCTCGCGGTCCGTGAGTTCGAGCCCCGCGTCGGGCTCTGGGCTGATGGCTCAGAGCCTGCTGCGGGGCTCAAACCTACAAACTGTGAGATCATGATCTGAGCCGATGTCGGATGCTTAACCAACTGAGCCACCCAGGCACCTCAGAAATTTTATTTATTTTTATTTTTATTTTTTAAAGTTTATTTATTTTCAGAGAGAGAGAGAGGGAGGGGCAGAGAGAGAGAGAGAGCATCTCAAGCATGCTCCAAGCTATAAGTGCAGAGCCTGACTGGGGAGGGGGGACCTCGGTCCCACAAACCGTGAAATCATGACCCGAGGTGAAATCAAGAGTCAGGCCCTTAACCAACTGAGCCACCCAGGCACCTCAAGATTTTTGTATAACACTAACCAACCATAGTAGCTTGAAATGTTAGAATTTTATTTAAAAGAACTACATTAGAAGGGTAACATGTAATGTTTATATGTAATGCCAATGCACTGGTAACTATTAAGCCAATTGTATCTGTTGTTGGACACACATTGTTAGTGATTTTCCTGGCTAAATGCAGGTGTTTTTGTTCTTGTTTTTCTCTCAGCTTCTCTTTAAAAAAAAAAAGGGGGGGGGGGAAATGGGGATGTATTGGTCAAAGAGTACAAACTTCCAGTTATGAGAATACAAGTTCTGGGGATCTAACATACAATATGGTGATAGCTAATAATGCTATATGCTGTACTTGAAGGTTGTTGAGGGTAGATCGTAAACATCCTCACCACAAAAAAGAAATAGTAATTATGTGATGGAATGGAGGTATTAGCTAATGGTATGGTGGTAATCATTTCTCAGTATATAAATGTACCAAATCAACACCTTGTACATCTTAACTTACACAATAATAGAGATAGAGATAGAGAGAAAGCTATCTTTCTAACATGATGAATGAATAAGAAAGTACAACTTAACAAAAGACAGGATAGTTGAGAGATCCTCACATGGCCTTTGCATGGCCTCGTAGGCCGTGCATGATTTAGTCCCTGCCCACCACTGGTCCCTGCTTATATTCTAAAAGCCTCAGTTCTGCCTCCCTCTGTGCCTTACTCCACATTCATACTGTTCCCTCTACCTAAAATGTCTTTCCTCTTACCTCCTACCCATCTCTTCTCACTTGTCCTTCAGATGTTAACATACCTATATAAGGTCAAGTCTCCTTGTCATATGATTGAATGGCATTAATCACAATATATACATATATATTTATTTATGTGATAATTTGATCAACACGTACATCCCCCTCTAGTCTGTAAGTTCCAGGAAGTTTGGTGCCTTTGTCACACAATAGGCATTCAAAAAATGTTCAGAGTGGATTTTTAGAGAGGGGAAAGAGAAAAGGTGAGAAGGAACCTATATCTGAAGAAGTAAATTTTTTAATATAGAATCTAAAAAAGTAAGAATTATAAAAGGTGAGAATAGAAAAAAAAAGCAAAGGAATCTTGAGACACATACATACAAATACATATATTACATTAGAGTCCTTGGTTAAACCCACATGTTTATGAACGTCAAGATTCAAAACCAGCTTTCTGATCAATAGTGTCAAACCTGTGTAAGTTATGTACTTCCAGCTTGTGCTGTTTTCTCATTATAATCTAAGTACTCTCATGTACAAATCTATATGAGATAGGCTGCCTATTTTCTGACATAATTAGGAACTAGGCTATATTTAACTATACTTAACTAAATGTTCTGGTTAGGAGAGTCACATTACACATATCGTACCCATATAATCTGTAGTCCATGAATCTGATTACAGTAAACTGCATGTAACTCTAAAACTCAATTAGCCATAATTTAACCATTGATAAAAACACACAAAGATTGTGCTGTGCTTTCATGATCATCATTATGGCTACCACTTACCTTTGCACCATGAGGACTCTAGAATCTATCAGTAGCAGCTACAATAATCCCCTTGATAGAAAGCTGGGTGAGTTAGGTTTTGCTCAGATAAGTAGAGCATACTGTAGTAATTCCAAGTTCTGTGAGATAGAGGTGAATGAATTCTATTAGTAAAGAATACATGCTAAATTTAACTAAGAAATACATATAGGTCATTAAAATTTTATTATCAGCTTAGCTTAACCTATTAAAATCCTTAGCTTTCATATATGTATTTACTTTTACGATGTTTTAAATGTTTGATTTTTAGAAATGTGTTTGGGAACATTCTGTATTATGGCTAAGATTGCCATTTCAAAAGTACAATGCCCCACACTTTTATGTCGTTGTAAGCATTAATGGAGTTTTACAGCACACTTGTGTGAGCTTTGAGATGACTGCTTGCACTGTGCAGATAAGAGAAGCTGAGGCATGGGGCTATTTCTGTAAGTTTTCCAAAGATGCCCCCTGAGCCAGTGTAGAGGAGAGCTTGAGACAGAAAACGATCTGTGTCTTCACTGAAAACACCTCTTGTATGCATCCTTAGTCTTGGGGATAGGTTGAGGGTGAAAAACCAGAATTGGCTTTTCACACTTACTACCACAGTCCTAACAAGGAGCTCTTGGTGGACATGTATACATAAATAAAAAGGGTATCAAGGTGATTAGCAGGATGAACTTTTGCTGGTCTGAAATGCTGGGTCTGCTTGATGGCAAGATAGATTAGTTGGCTTTTCAAGGCCTTCTAACAGTTATAGTCTATCCAGTATGGACAATATTTAAAGTGTTTACCTTTCTTTTTCTTTTCTTTTTCCTCACAGATCTATGCAGTTCGCTCAGTTGTTCCCAACAAAAGCAATAATGAAATCGTGCTGGTGCTACAACAGTTTGACTTTAATGTAGATAAAGCAGTGCAAGCCTTCGTGGATGGTAAGCATACATGACCCCTGAACCTGTTAGAACTAAATATTCTATATGTTCTGTGTTTTTCCTCAAATGCATTGAATGTCAATTAGCTACCGACAATGTAATTCTCATAAAAATATGCTAAGCTTTAAAAACACATCCATATACTCAATAAGAGCAGAATTTGGGATTTCTTTCTCCCTTGTGTAAAAAAAAAGATTGTACCTAGTTTCTAAAAGATACCTATTATAATGATGCTAATTCCATTGTCCACCAGTCTTTCCAATTTGTTATTAAACATGCCCTTTATTTGATGGTGTCCTTGTGAATGGAGGGTAATGCACTTCCTTCCTGATCAACTCTTCAGCATAGCTGTACTTAGCTGCAGTCCTTGAACTCGATGCTTACATAGTCTGAGAGGACTGGTTTATTCTTTTTTTTTTTTTAATGTTTATTTATTTTCGAGACAGCATGCTCACACCCCTGTGCCGGGGAGGGGCAGAAAAAAATGGGGGTGGGGGTGGGGGTGGAGACAGAGGATCAGAAACTAGCTCAGCGCTGACAGCAGAGCCCGATGTAGGGCTCAAACTCATGAACCATGAGATCATGACCTGAGCTGAAGTCAGATGCTTAACCAACTGAGCCACGTAGGTGCCCCAGTACTGGTTTATTCCTTAGTAGCCTTAGTCTATGATTTTGAGATTGCCTAATTAATCAGAATATCAATTCTGCTCATCTACCTCTAGATCCTTTTTGCTGTCTAAAACAGAATTTTCTTTAGACAAGCAATTGCCAGTGATATCATAGAATCCAAAGTCTTAGGAATATGTTTATCTTATAAATTTGTAACCTACGACCTTATATTTCCTGTATATTATGGGGAAATTCTCCCCTCCTATTTGAACAATTTCCACTTATGGACAGAGGTCTCGTACTTGTCCTCAGTTACCATATGGGTTCTGTCCTGGTATTAGTTTCTATGTTGTAAATATGGACTGGCTAAATATAATCTGATAAATCGGGTCAGGGAACACCTGTCAGCACATTTCTCAGTTATATCCTATTTATACTTTCTTTGTTAAGGATGGTTTGATTTACTTATTTTCCTAGGATTGGAATAATTTTTCTAAAGTTCTACAAGTATGGTTGCATTTCAGGCCAGGTCTTGAAACCAGGCCACACTCTAAATCTAAATTCTCTCAACTAATCTCAAGATTTAGGGTCCTAACTGATTTAAAAAATGATTGTCATTCAAAATAGACCTGCAAGCAGACCCATAATGAGCAACCTTTCTGTTTCGCTCTGTCTCATGAACTGACAGATACAGAGTTTTTAGTCATAAGAAAAAAAATAGTAGAAAATCTGATATTGATCTCATTCGCAGCATTTGGTGCAATTTGTCTCAAGAAAAAAATTTTGGAAATCTGCACATACTGGCGCAGATAAACTCTCAAGATTCACTTGCCAACGTCATTCACATGGAAAAAAGCTTTAGGACAGGAAAAAGGTTATTATCCCCATTCTTCCCCACCCTCACTTGGATTGAAGCCCCCACATTCCCCATCATGAAAGTTTTCATTACAAAGTGACCCTGATGAAATGCACAGATGCTCAGTAACTGATAGACTGTCATCAAATCCGTTTGTATTTAAATAGAGCACCTTGCTTGTCCTTGAAATTGTCACCTCATTGTCAGTGTTGAGATCTCATTGAAAAAACCCATTGATTGCTGAGAAATCTCATATCATTTTGGTTGGGGACCAGTTGGAAAACTTGTTTAAAAACCACTGAAGTTCGAAAATATTTGTTAGGAATCACTTATGAGGCATATTAAAAGCACTATTTCTGAGTGGCTTCAAAAGCTTCAAGCAGTTTCAGTATAATTAAAATTTAATAATAACACTTTCAAAATTCTCTGTGAACATGAGTATTTCTTCTTCAGAATTGCTCTCGAAAAGCTCATTGTCCAAATTGCAAATAGAATTTATGTCAAAATGTGAAAATTAGAGGAATAATTGTAAAGCCATAAGCAACTCACCTCCTTTCTCTGATTAGAAAGAACATTATTTAACGGTGCTTCTTAATTTTATTTTATTTAGAAAACTGAAGTTTAGCTGTAAGTAAAAACTACCCTAATGATTATTAGCCACTGGATCGGCTAAGAAAAAGCCTAATAAAAGTGACTTTCTAAAGTTCTTCAAAAGGAGAATACTGTGAAACATTAATTCTCTGGGCAAATGAGAGAAAGACCAGCTCAGTTAATAAAAAGTCTGAATTATAACTTACTTTTAAGTGCGGTGTTATTATTTCAAGTACATGTAACTCAGAAAGCCTAAGAGGGGCATTGAATTGGAAACTTTGAATAGATAGGAATAATTAGCCTGTCTAAACATTTGTCAAAGCAATATGGCCTTCTGCTTATCTAACAGTGACAGTGGACTCAATAATTGGGACCCTACTAATTTGAAATTTGTTATAAAGACCGGCCTGAAGTTTATCTCTGTTTAGCCAACACACTCATTGTACAGAACTATTAGTATAATGAGATTGTATGAAAAGGCTTAAAATTGTTAAAAGAATACATTTAACAGCTACTCTTTTAGAATTACCTATTTATAGGAAAACAAATGATGTACTCATTACCAATAACGTATTGTTGAAATTACCCCCAGCCCAGTTGGAATGAGGGAAGAACTTTGTTACACCACGTGGAAAACAGTTATCATAGCTGACTAACAGTATGCATGTCTTTTAAAATATTTTACAGCTTAATCAGGTTAGACTTTTCCTCTGAGTCTGTGCAAGGCCACATATGTATGTGAATAGCATGGAGAAAACCTGAGATTAATATGTCAGTCGATGAATTTCTTTTGTTTCAAAGTAGAAGCCTCGCAAAGAGCACATCCTATCCTTATGCACAGTGACAAGAGCAAAACCAACCTCAGATAATCTGCCCTCCTTATCACGCTGCTCAAGTTCAAGTTGCAAACATAATGAGTGGGGGCAGAAAAAGAGCAGGAGTGGCCAGGCAAAAAGCTTTGATGCACTTGGTTAATAATATTCAAAATCCCATGTTTGGTCTGGAAGATTATAGGTATTTTGATTCATATATCAAACAGAACAATTTTAATTCCACCTATGGCAATGAAGCTAACAGAACATTCTCAAGATATATTTCATTTTCTCTAAGACAACATAATGATAAAAAGGTAAGCTTCATGTAGTGGGGCTTAATACTTTGATAAAACCAAGATCATGCAGTGAATTAAATGAAAGTCTGGAAATAAAAAATGAAACTGGCATTTTTATTAAGGTAGGATGTATCAAAACAAATGAAAAAGCCACAAAAAAAAAATTGCTACCAGGATGGAAAGACAGAGATGAATTTTGTGTGGTGTTTTATTATGTGAATACGTGTTGAAGGTTCTTTGTCTTTGTCTAGGCAGTGCAGTTCAAGTTCTAAAAGAATGGAATATGACAGGAAAAAAGAAGGTAAGATTAATACTGATTGTAAATTAATCACATCTCCAATCAAAACATCCATGGTTGTTACCATTTAAACAAGGTTACCAATTTTATGCTTCTTTCAAATATGTTGGTATGTAGACTGAGAAAACTTGCAAATTCAAGACTCTCTTCAATTACCAGCCACCCTCACTACTAATGCCCTTGTTTTCTGTTGGAGTGTTTTTAACCACCAGGTGTGCTTTAGAAGTCCCAGAGTTTTTCTTTTTAAGTATTAAGGGGAACCCAGCCGGAGAATTCAAAGGATTCAAGACGTTAACTTGCCTGAACATATTTCGCAGCACAAAGGAAAAAATTAGGGAGTGTTTTAAAGATACTTGAAAAGCTCTAAATATATTTTCACATGTTTTTCCAACTGAAAGAATCTGTCCAAAGCTGCCCTGAGTTGTTTTTGTGTGTGTGTGTGTGTTTTTTTTTTTTTTTTTTTTTTTTTTTTTTTTTTTTTTTTTTTTTTTTTTTTTTTTTTTTTTTTTTTTTTTTGCTGAGTTCTAAACTAGATCTTTAACAAAGGAACAAGAAAATACCTTAAAGCCATAGTAAGAAAGGGACCAATTTTTTTCCCTCTTGATAACCCTGGCAAACCACTCTTTGAGAACAGAGGGAATGAGATTTTACTCTGCCCTCTTCGAATTATTTTCCTTTCTTGGCTAGTCACAAAGGGTTTGACTTCTGGGCACACATGAGGTGCGCCTGTGTGCACATGGCACTCTGTCTCCAGAACATGCCTGCCTAATCTTGTGTACATATATGGAGCTCACTAGCTCCTACAAAGTGCACCAGTCTTGTTCTTGGCCTGCAACCTGTTTTAGTCTGATTCTGTTTTCAAAGGAACTGCCCCATCCGTACCCATAATTTCCCAGCCAGGCCTTGTGTTTTGGGTATCCCACAATATAATACTCCAGTCTACCCTTCCCCATGAGGGAAGATCACAGGCCCACAGAACAGGTTTTGAGAAAACAAAAGGCAGCATTATTTCCATAAAATCCTGAGATGACTGAGATTACTGAAATTACCCTTCGCCCTCTGTTCTCCCTTTAGTTTCTTGTGGAATAGGAGGAATTGAGAGATTTTTTTTTAACCCTTGTGTGTCACCCTTTTTGACAATCTCTGCTTATCTCTACTCATGGTTTCCCTGACTTCTGTGTGAGCTGAAAATGGTTTGCAAGTGATTGAAAGGCAATATTGACACGTCCGTGGAAAAATCTCAGATGTGCAGTTTGGGTATCAGATTTCTCTGATGTGAAAAAAGGAGCAGAGGAACAACTGCAGACCCAGCTCACTGAGCCTCCATCTTAGAGGTTCAGTGGGGAAATGGTCTCCCCAGCCCAGCAGACATGCAGCTTGCATGGGAACCTGTGCTGCCAGCCCTTCCCTTCACCCAGGGAATGGCTTCTCTCAGCCAGAGGAGCACTACTGGGGGAATGATTGTGGTTTCAATGGGAAAGAAAGGGAATGAGGAGGAGAATTAAAAGGAAACAGTTTCTTTTTATTTTTTCTGTTCAAATGTGTTGAAGAACAAAGCCAGGCTGATGTTCCACTGGCACTCACTGCTGCAGCAGGTGGGTGGGACAGGGTCTGCTCTAATGGGTCAGGCATCTGTTCTGCTTGGCCAAGGTCTGCGCCTTCCTGAATGTTAAATACATTGAGTACCCCGAAGGTGCAAAACCAAAGTCAAGTAAAGCGTGCAACATAATTGGGAACATCTTCTTAATTTCCTGTATATTATTATGTATCATCCATTAGGGCATCTTAGGAGAGGTACCGTAAAACCCTGCCATATTGTGATAATTGGGGTCCAAAAACATTTTAATGGTCTAAAATGCAGGGTGGTGTTATTTCAAAGTAAATAAAGTGAAACCATGTAATGCTGTTCACCTCATAGCCGAGAGGTCGTCCAGGATTCCAGCTGCACAGTCCAAATCCAGGTGGACCCAGATCGGTTTGGCATGGCTTTATAGCATTTGTCTGCGCCAGCTTAAATTCTCATGGGGATGATTATGTGTCCTGTGGCTGCCTTGCACTCCGTGGACAGTGGCAGCCATGCCAGGAATCTCCTGGTTGATTGGTATCTATCTCGGCAGACCCAACCTGGACTTTGGGGACCTGCCTTCTACTTCTTCATCTTGCAAGGACTTGCCTGCCCTTTTCCTACTGATTCTCCTCCTCAACCTCCTATCCTCCCTGGAGGATCAGAACCCTTGTCTCCCACCACCACATCACCAATTTAAGAAATGTGAGCTCTTCTCCAGTGGCACAATATCTGAATTCAAGTTGTTTGAAAGCAGTTCTCACAAGATTTTACTATATTACTGTTCATATATATATATGGCTTCAATTTGCTCCAATAATATTTCAACTTTTAGGCCATTCCCTGCTATTTTTTTCCTTTTAAGGGAACTTTTATTTGCTCACTATGTTTATGAGGTAAAAGTTTACACAACTTACTGTGAGAAAGAAGATACATTAATGTGGGCGGTTAATAAAAATGTAGGTGTTTTCGCCCATTCTAAAGGGCCAGAAAGCAAACAAGATAACATACTTCATTTTGATGTCTAGGTTCACTTTGTATCTAAAGGGTCTGAGCTGAATAATATTATCTTCTCATTTGTTTCTCATTCTAGAACAATAAAAGAAAAAGAAGCAAGTCTAAGCAGCATCAAGGCAACAAAGATGCTAAAGACAAGGCAGAGAGGCCGGAAGCAGGGCCCCTGCAGGCACCACCGCCCCAGATACAAAATGGCCACATAAATGGCTGTGAGAAGGACAACTCATCCACCGATTCTGCCAGTGAAAAACCAGTCCTTATCCCTCGTGAGAAAAAGATCTCGATACTCGAGGAACCTTCAAAGTCCCTTCGTGGGGTCACAGGTCAGTAATTCTCGTACAAAGTTGCTTAGGAAGGCACGGAAGAAAAGGATGCAGAGGGAACCCACTGAGTTGATTGTTTCTACTGTTGATATTGTTGAAAGAGAAGGGTTGTTCTGCATCGTGCAGGGATGCAGACATCTTCCCATAGGAAGGGGGTGGGGAGGATGTTGCAGGGCCAAAGAATAAAACTCAGCTTAGCCCCGCACTAAGTCAGAGGATTATTTTTTCCAAGGAACATAGTTCTAATCTGTATTAGCATCATCGGGAAAACAGAAATTCCAGTTAAAAGAAATTTTCTTTCAAGACACCTTTTCCTGGGATAAGGGAGAAATAATTGATGACAAGAGCAAATGTTATTAAAGGGTAGATCAAATTATTTTAACTTTTGGTATTTTATATTATGTGACAGAACCTAACCTTCCAGGGTGTTAGAATCTGGAATATGAATTATTTGTGCTATAGCTATATCTTAATCAGTCCACCAAAGGCTACTTTTTAATCAAGTGTATGACGTTGGGTGTATCATTTCATCTCTAGTGTCCCATTTCCTTTCTGTAAAATAAGGAAACTATACTACAATGTACTAGATCAGTGGCCCTCAATACCGTCTTACTGAATGCTCCATTTGATAACAAATCCTAAAATAAAATTCATAGATAATATAATCTATATAATCTATCTAGAAACAGGATTTCAATAAAGCAAAAAATGTGAGAAATCAGGAACCACTAAAAAATAGAAAACCTGATAAAATGGTCTGATATACACACCCACTTATAATGAATCGCTTTGCACTTAAAAGAGAACAGTGGTCAACAAGATATTGTAGACAGTGGTTTTTTTTTTTTGTATTTCACCTGTGATGTAAGAGCTGAATGAGAATGTTTGTGTATAGACACAGCATCGCTAGGAAAACAGCTACTACAAATGCAGGCTGATGCAGGGGTGCTAGTTGTTAGATACCGTGACTACAGGTGTCGTTGGCCATGTGATTTTCCCATATGGTGCAAAACTTTTGATTGGTTCCGAACACCATAAAATATAATCTTTTCTTAATTTACCCAGTATTAAATCCCAGAAATCCAAGTAAATCCTGGAAATCTGTAGGAAAATTATATTAAAAAATACTTGTGTTTATATGTAAAGCGTCCAACAGGACATGAGAAAGTTCAGGACACAGGATGATTCTTTGTTGTGCAGGATGCCTGTGATTGTAAGTCACCTGGCTATAGGTGTAGGCCCCTCTTCCACACACAAATTTTAAAAATGCCCCATCAGTTTTTCAAAATGCCTTTGAAGCGGTGGTAGATTCTCCCAGTGAGGACCAGATAATTCCTGAAGTCCTTCTAGTTACAAAATCCTACTTTTATTGACTCAGTGACTCTTTAAATTCTTCCTACACACAAAGCACTGTGCTCTCAGGCCACAGTAAATTCAGAGAAGGGTATGGTATGGTTGAGGCCCTGAGGGAATCACATCCTATTATTTATTCTTGAAGAGAAGGCTGGGTTTACAGTTTAGGGAAAAGAGGTGCTACATCCAACTGAGTGATCCGGGGAAGTTTTGTGGGAGTAGTAGTTATTGAAGGACCCATAAATTTGAACGAGGAGAGGGGATTTGGAAGGTTGAAAAGAAGTGGAGAAAACTTGACTCCATACTCTTGTATGTCTGCAGTCTCTGAGTAAGACAGGCCCTGCCTAGGAACAATTCAGTCCAATAGAAGATGATGCAAACAGAACATCTCCTGGTGACATGTCCCAAATCAGGGCTCCACTGAGGAAGCAATACATTAAATAACTGACATGCTACACAGCACACTAGTGAGTTTGCAACTTGCTCACGAAGCACTAATTTTCTTCCATAAACACATTACCTACCAACTCTCTTAATAGTGAGTGCCGTAATTCAGATCATCCTTACTGTGCAATGCTTCCTTAAAACCAACCCAACAGGGGCGCCTGGGTGGCTCAGTTGATAAAGTGTCCCTCTTGATTTCGGCTCAGGTCATGATCTCACAGTTTCATGAGTTCGAGCCCCATGTCAGGCTCCATGCTGACGGTGTGGAGCCTGCTTGAGATTCTCTGTCTCCCTCTCTCTGTCCCTACCCTACTTGTGCTGACTCTCTCTCTCAAAATAAATAAACTTAAAAATTAAAAAAAAAAAAAACAGCCTATTTCCCTTTAGAATCTAAATTTTCCAGGAATTTTTTAATTCAGTTTTTACTACGCCTACAGTTTTGAGAATGTTTTGATTTATAGTAAGGGCAGGGGAAAGAAATTAAATAATTGAGTGGCAGATTCCCAACTTTGCTTGTTATTGCTTTCACACGAATTACTTTCAAAATCTAATTACTCAAGTTGCTGTTTTGATATCAATCACAGACTAAAAGCCTAGCACGTATATTTGTTCATTTACTTATAATTTATACCTTCTTTCTAAAACAATTTCGGTAACTCTATCAAGTATATGACATTAGAGCAAATTCAATATTGAAGCGCTTCACTTCACAGTGGATAGCTGCCTTGAAAGTTAAGTACCCACTGGAGGAGTTCTCTGTACAAGGAGGTTTTTGTAAACTCTAACATGAAACTTTGTGTGAAGAATCCTTCATTGCACAAAGAGCCATCCCAATATCCTTTCAGTTTTGTAAGTTTAGCATGAAGGCATTGAAGTATGTCAGTATTATTTGTTAATGTTACTGGTTCACTTCAAATCTATACTTCACATAAGTTTTCCTGTTAAGGACTGAATGATGATCATGGAAGATTATTAGATTATTTTGCAAAAGAAAGGGAATCCTCCTGGTTGACCATTAACATCAGCAGCAGCTCACTCATAAATTTAAAAATGAGTTTGTTACTAGTTAGGTTTTCCTTCCCAAAGATAATGAAAGTTCATCAGGAACGTGGTGCCAAAACTGTGAAATGGCCTTAAAATGCTCATCCAATCCATTGGAAACCCCGAGACCCCTAACAGGTATTTCACAGATGAGTGTTAGGTCTTGGACATTCTGTACCCCATTTTGAATGTAGAGCCTTGGCACTGGAAAGGATGGCAGTGATCCTTGAACCCCATCTCCTCACTTTATTGCCGAGGAAGCTAGAGCCCCTCAGGTTGAGAAGATAACCCGCACCCCTGGGGTAACTCTTTTTAGTTTGCAAAAGCCTGTAATTTAATGCATGCATTCAGAGAGTCTCTGCTGAAACCGTGGGCTCCATAACTCCTAAATGATGTATAATTGAAAAATTAGGAAAAGGTAATCCTAAAAAAGCCATATAATGATATTCTGTACTTGAGTGGGTTCAAAGTATGAGTGTAAAAGAAATCTCCAGCCTGCTTGCAGTGGAGCATTTATCAATCTTTCCAATAATGAAACTGGCTCAAGAAAGCTTGCCCTGAATGCCCAGCTGGGCAGCAGGCTGTGAACATGTGGAACACACATTTTATCTTTTTATAACACCTTGACATTCAAGATTTCTCTTTTTCAAAAATTTTAAACAGAATCACTTTCTGGTAGGGGAGAAGTTAGCTTTAAGATATATGCAGGTGGTTCAGGGGTGTTAGTGTGACTTCCTACGTGAAAAATAACCACCAAACGCATCATCATTGCAGGCTGTAAATATAGCACTGTCGAGTGGGACAATGCTGCCTGTCAGCATGTAGCTTAGAAGTTTGGGAGTTTGATTTAAACTTAGTACAAAATTACTTCTTTAAGCCTTGGAGTAGTTTTTTTTTTTTTTTTTTTTTTTTTTTTTTTTTTTTTTTTTTTTTTCTGTATTTCAGAATTTTTAATAACAGCTCAAATTAGATCTTTTACATAATCCAATCATGATCACTCTGTGTCCAAGTACAAAGTCAGACAAGGAATAGATTAAGATTTATTTTTACCAAAAGTAATGCCAAGGATCATTTTTATTCCTAAAGTCCATCTAAATGTCTAAAGCACATTATGACTTTAGGGTTCAATTTTCCTAAATATTCTTCCTGCTCTACTTTTCTTAAGGCGTGTATTACTGAAATGTTTAGGTGGTTATCACCGGATAGGTCAGAATAAGAATTCAAATTCCTGTGTGGCTTTCTCTCACTGGACACAATTCCCACTGAATAGGAAAGGAGCCGGATTACAGGCCACCAACTGACTCCATTGAGAGAAACTTTGAGGCGGGGCTTTTCTTGGCTTCAGCTCCCCTGATGGCCAGCAGGCTTCCTTTATGTCCCCTGGTCTTGTGAAGCATCCTGGGAAGCCAGCTCTTGTGTTATTTGTTACCTGTCTCAAACAGAAAGCTCCATGCTGTGTTCACTGACCTGCACAAACCGGACTTCACAATCTGCTCTGTATCACAGAACAGGAGCAGCCCAGTCATTTTGCCTTGACAATACACATTGTCTATTTGGGCATGGCACTGGCACAGAACTGCTTTCTCATTCTCAAAGTGAGCGGAACCAAACATGAGAGTAAGGATCCCGTTATTTTAGAATGTTCGCTGCTTGTCCCTCATTTGTGCGTCTTGTTAACACCCCACACCACCACACACACACACACACCTCACCAGACTGTTTCACAGTATTTTTATGGTATGCGGTTTCCTATAGGATTTCCAAGCAGATTTTTTTAATGCTACTGTCAGTCCTAGCCTCAAGATTATCTCCCCTGCTTCTCTAAGCCCCTATATTGGACCAGAGGATTAGAAAAGATCAACAAGATGAAAGCAGCTTGCCTGGAACTTTAATAGTAAAGCCAAATGTGTATATTCCAGGATTCAGCAGTGCCAGCCCTCCAATGGAAACAATATAATATTGTAGCTAAGAACCAGGCTTTAGCGTTAGAGGTGTTTGGATTCAAGTCTTGGCCTCATCGCTTACTAGGTGTGTGACCCGGGACAAGTTAGCCACTCTGTGTCTCCGTGTCCTCACCTGCAAAATAGAAAATATGACTCCACTTAACAAGACTGTCGTATGCAGTAAGTGAGGTGTCTAAAGTGATTAGCACAGCATCCAGC